TCCGAGCTGGCGCGTCAGGAGCAGGCTGGGGTCACTGGAGTGTGTAAAACAACATACTGGGCAGGGACAACATTAATAAATCAAAGTAGGCAAAAGCAGAAGCTGCCCTGAGCTGTTCCTGGGCTCTAACGCATGGTCCGTGCAGCAGTCACGGCACCCCGGCTGTGCCATCCCTGGGAGAGGGGATTTAAAAGGAAGAGAAAAAAAAAAAAAAAAAAAATGAATCGAAGACAGATTGAGTTTTGGCTGCTTTTAGCTGTGGCCTTTCATCCCACTGAGCTCCTGCAAAGGCAGCACAGGCCAATTTGTGGCTCCAGAAGAGCCCAGGCACAAACCCAAAAGCCCCAAGTCTGGCTGCAAGCCCAGTTCCCAGCACCCCCGGCTGCCCTGCGCACCCATCTCGGGGTGCAGATGCTCTGGCAGGCAGGGCAGCACAGGGCAAGCGTGGGAAGGGGTGAGACCACTTGTCTTGGGGGATTTTGCTTCCCTCTGGTCCAGGTCTCCAAGAACACGCTGCCATTTTCCACAGCTCCCCTCTGCGATGGCCCCTGTACGAACACACTGCCACCACGGTCAGTCAGACTCTGCTCTTTAATGGACTATTCCCTCCAAACTTGCAATGCCCAACCTCGGACGCGATACCCCACTGCTTTAAAAAGGGATTTACACACATCCCAGCATCACCCCCCTTGTCATCCCAAGGAGCAAGGCCTCGACTGGCGCCAAGAACCAACCAAAGGAAGTCTCTTGCAGCCTCTCTAGCGGAATGGCAGCGATGACAGAGGGCAGCACAGCTGCTGCGATGGTTTCGGTCGCATCCCTGATGAAAGAACAGCGTGGAGATGAGAGACGGCGCGAATCTATCTCCCCAGCCAGGGCTAGAAGCGCTTCATCTGGCGGCGTTCTTGTCGGCGTTGCTTCTTCTCATTTGGTTCCTGACCAGCGGGTGAGGAGTCAGCTGTAAACCAGGGCCCCAGGATGTTCACCCACAGGAGGTAGAGGGCACGTCCCGGCGCCTGCAAAACACGGGTGGCACAAACGGTCACTTAGGGACTGCTCTGGCAGCGGGGGAGCTACTGAGGAATCATGGAATGGTTGGGTTGGAAGGGACCTGCCATGGGCAGGGACACCTTCCACTACACCACGTTGCTCAAAGCCTCATCCAACCTGGCCTTGAACACTTCCAGGGATGGGGCAGCCACAGCTTCTCTGGGCAACCTGTGCCAGTGTCTCACCACCCTCAGAGGGAAAAATTTCTTCCTTGGATCTCATCGAAATCTCCCCTCTTTCGGTTTAAAGCCATTGCCCCTTGTCCTGTCACTACACACCCTTGTCCAAAGCCCCTCTCCAGCTTTCCTGTAGCCCCTTTAGGTACTGGAAGGTCTCCCCGGAGCCTTCTCTTCCCCAGGCTGAACAGCCCCAACTCTCTCAGCCTGTTTCCATAGCAGAGGTGCTTCAGCCCTCGGATCTTCTCCGTCTGTGTCCTTCTGATGCTGGAGACCCCAGAGCTGAATGCAGCACTGCAGGGGGGGTCTCAGGAGAGCAGAGCAGAGGGGCAGAATCCCCTCCCTCGCCCTGCTGCCCACGCTGCCTTGGATGCAGCCCAGGACACGGTTGGCTTTCTGGGCTGTCAGCGCACGTTGCCGGCTCATGTTGAGCTTCTCCTCAACCAACGCCCCCAAGTCCTTCTCCTCAGGGCTGCTCTCCAGCCATTGTCCGCCCAGCCTGTACTTGTGCTTGAGATATTCCAAGCACAAACACAAGCGGAAGGAGCTGGAATATCTTTAGAGGCTGGATCAGGGGCATCGCAGGATGCACAGAAATCAAAACCACTGTGGCAGGTGTCCAAAATAAACAGCCTGATTTCATCCAGTTTAGGAACTTGCATACGTCTACGGCACTTGGGCTTCGTATACGGAAATCCCAGCATCAGGTCTGAATTACCCAGAAAGATCCGAGTGCCCAGACGTTCGGCCTGTCCCCCCTTCACTAAGCACCCCCACGGTTCTCTAAAGGAAAACAAACGTGATCTGGATGGTCTTCGGGGCACAGCCCGCGTTGAGGCTGCCCTCTGCCAGGCAGCAAGAAGGGAACTTGTAAGGACTGAAACAAGGCCACTTTCGACGCTCCCAGGACTGCCTTATTTACCTTCGTGGGATATATTCAAACCAACTCTGGGATTTTTTTTTTTTTTTAACTGGCTGGAGATGTTGTTTATCCTTCTGCAAAAGCGGTTTTAGCCGGAGGCCCCTGACAAACATTTCGGGAATAGAAAAATCTGGTGTGTTAAGGGGAAATCAAAGCCGACGGCGTCTGACGTTCCGAGCGGCACAGTGCCCAGCGGTTCCCAGCCTCGGCCCGTGCTGGTGAATGACGGAGGAAACCAAACAATCAGCAGCACAGTCTGTTTGCCACAGTCACAAAAAGCTCTACACACAAAGACGGCTTTGATCTGCCTCGTGGTTCTTGTTGCCCTTTCCCAGGGCCAGAGAAAAAGGCCAAGGCCAGCCTAGTTTTTACGGGGTTGACCCACAGGAATCAGGACTTCTTTCCCTCATACAGCCTCATTTTTAACAGGACTCGACGGGGAGATTAAAAATTTTATCAGAGAACAGTTTTGGCCTGGAACAGGACACTGAAATGAAACAGATAAATAACGTCCTCGGTCCTGAACATCAGGAAAGACAGGGACAAGGCAGAGCGACAACGACCACCGCAGGGGCTTACCAAGAGCCAGAAGTACCAGACGTAGGGCGAGAAGCAGCTCAGCACTTGGACTATAGCTGTCAGCAGGATCACATCCTTGAGGTGCCTGAGGGAAGAAAAACAAAACATTGACCTTCCCTTCCAGCCCCTGCCGGACACACCAGCTCCTCTGCCAAGTCTGCACCGCCTCCGGGAGCGACCCTGCCCGGCCCCACTGCAGGACTGTGCCCCTGCAGCTATGCTTTGCCACGCATGGTAACCTGGAAGAATCAGAGCAAGAAACAACAAGAAAAATAGATCTGATGAGTTAAGGAGCTAGGCTCGCTCGGAAAAGGGACATTGAGAAAGCTGAGGAATGCGAGGGGGTGGAAATCAGCAACAAAACCACCACTCCCACAGCCTGCAACAGCAGCCAGCACCCGCTGACTTGACACCTATCACAGAAGCATGGAATGGTTTGGGTTGGAAGCGACCTGCAAGATCATCCCG